CTCCATCACCAGAACAGCACGGGAGACCATCGGATCTCGTGGGACCCGCTCACCGTCACCAGAACAGCACGGGAGACCATCTGATCTCGTGAGACCCGCTCTCCGTCACCAGAACAGCACGGGAGACCATCTGATCTCGTGGGACCCACTCTCCGTCACCAGAACAGCACGGGAGACCATCTGATCTCGTGGGACCCGCTCTCCATCACCAGAACAGCACGGGAGACCATCGGATCTCGTGAGACCCGCTCTCCATCACCAGAACAGCACGGGAGACCATCGGATCTCGTGGGACCCGCTCTCCATCACCAGAACAGCACGGGAAACCATCGGATCTCGTGGGACCCGCTCACCGTCACCAGAACAGCACGGGAGACCATCTGATCCTGTGGGACCCGCTCTCCGTCACCAGAACAGCACGGGAGACCATCGGATCCTGTGGGACCCACTCTCCGTCACCAGAACAGCACGGGAGACCATCTGATCTCGTGGGACCCGCTCACCGTCACCAGAACAGCACAGGAGAGACCCACTCCCATGATTCAGTTATCTCTGACCTGCTCCTTCCCACGACATGTGGGAATTATGGGAGCTACAAGATGAGATTTGGGTGGGGACACAGAGCCAGCCTGTATCAGATAAGAAGTCTCACAGCATGTCTTAGTTGGTAGTTTTGACTGTGCTGTGCAAACCACCCGTGATATGGCTCCTTCTTTGCCTAACGGCCACTTCCCAAGAGGGTTTGCCGAAGTCCCCACAGTCATGGGTACACAGTTCTCTCTGGAGCCCCTCAGCATCGCTTCTTATGTTTTGAGACTGCATTTGTAAGGTACGTATCTGTTTGTGTGTATCACACCTTCAAGCATTCCTTCTCTGACCCTCCTGTTTTTTAAGTCCGGTTTCTAGGACTCACCTCTGGCCTCCTCTGTCTTTTGGCTGTTGTTTTCCTCATAAATCTTTCTTTGTCCTTTTATTTTCAATCAGTCACTAAGCATTGTATTAAGTGGGTCTGGTGTAGATAGCATATTGCCGGAGATATCCCCTCCTGAGTCCGTTCGTTAATTTGAGTCTGTGCAGTTAACGGCTGTTTGGAAGGCTTCAGAAGACACACCCAGCGGCCCGTGGCGGGTCCGTCCATCCATCTGTCGCACTTTCTCTCCCACCGGCTTCCGTTGTTGGCATCTTATTTCTTCTTTCTCCCACTGTTTATGTGCCAGTTCTGCTGGTTCTTATTCTTCAGATGGTGACTTCTTGTTGTGGAAAGGATTTACATGCATAGGTACCTCTACAGCGTCTCAGTGTCTGTACTATTTCCTGCCTAAGACAGATCACCTAGCACCCTCTCCCCACGTGTAGCCTCCTTCCACCCACCACATAGGATCATCCAGAACCAACTTAATTCATGTTGATATGAACACTTGGGTTTGGGATAGGGCCAGGCAAGAGTAACCTTTACAAAGTCATGTGCTCAGTGTACTTCCTGCATCTCAGGGCACTCACCTCCCGCGTCTCAGGACACTCACCTCCCGCGTCTCAGGGCACTCACCTCCCGCGTCTCAGGGCACTCACCTCCCGTCTCTGAACTCACCTCCCGCGTCTCAGGGCACTCACCTCCCGTCTCTGAACTCACCTCCCGCGTCTCAGGACACTCACCTCCCGCGTCTCAGGACACTCACCTCCCGTCTCTGAACTCACCTCCCGCGTCTCAGGACACTCACCTCCCGTCTCTGAACTCACCTCCCGCGTCTCAGGACACTCACCTCCCGCGTCTCAGGGCACTCACCTCCCGCGTCTCAGGGCACTCACCTCCCGCGTCTCAGGACACTCACCTCCCGCGTCTCAGGGCACTCACCTCCCGCGTCTCAGGGCACTCACCTCCCGCGTCTCAGGGCACTCACCTCCCGTCTCTGAACTCACCTCCCGCGTCTCAGGGCACTCACCTCCCGTCTCTGAACTCACCTCCCGCGTCTCAGGACACTCACCTCCCGCGTCTCAGGGCACTCACCTCCCGTCTCTGAACTCACCTCCCGTCTCTGAACTCACCTCCCGCGTCTCAGGGCACTCACCTCCCGCGTCTCAGGACACTCACCTCCCGCGTCTCAGGACACTCACCTCCCGCGTCTCAGGACACTCACCTCCCGCGTCTCAGGACACTCACCTCCTGTCTCTGAACTCACCTCCCGCGTCTCAGGGCACTCACCTCCCGTCTCTGAACTCACCTCCCGCGTCTCAGGACACTCACCTCCCGCGTCTCAGGACACTCACCTCCCGTCTCTGAACTCACCTCCCGTCTCTGAACTCACCTCCCGCGTCTCAGGACACTCACCTCCCGCGTCTCAGGGCACTCACCTCCCGCGTCTCAGGACACTCACCTCCCGCGTCTCAGGGCACTCACCTCCCGCGTCTCAGGGCACTCACCTCCCGTCTCTGAACTCACCTCCCGCGTCTCAGGTCACTCACCTCCCGCGTCTCAGGGCACTCACCTCCCGCGTCTCAGGGCACTCACCTCCCGTCTCTGAACTCACCTCCCGCGTCTCAGGACACTCACCTCCCGCGTCTCAGGGCACTCACCTCCCGTCTCTGAACTCACCTCCCGCGTCTCAGGACACTCACCTCCCGCGTCTCAGGGCACTCATCTCCCGCACTCATGGCCTCCAGCCTCGCCTCCATGGCCTCCCAACTTGCCTCTGGTGGAGTCTCAGTGCTCACTGCCCACGTCTTGGTCCACCCCCTGCATTTCTTTCTGATTACGGCGTCTAAGGGTGTTCTCAAAGCACATCTCACTGTGGCAAACCTCAGAAGGACTTGTCTCCACGAGGTCGTCGTCCTCCACCTGCACAAGAAATGATCGTTTAGTGGACTATAAAACTCTGAGCCTGAACTTCTTCCGCATTTTCAAAGTGACCATCTGAGATCTTGCATTCACGGTTGCTGTTGAAAATGCTGCTGTCAATAGAATTTTCATTTCCTTGAAAGTATCAACTAAGTTACGCGACCATAAGGCCCCACAATAGGCCCTCTGAGCTGAGGAACAAGGAGAAGCAGTCTGTCTCAGAGCTGAGGAACTTGGGAGTATGCTCAGCGGTCCTGGAGAAAGGTGTAGGCTGGGAGGCAAGGCCTGGCTCCTTTTCACGTTTTTCTGCTGCTTTATATTTGCTGGCAGCTGACTGGATGGTGCCCACCCGATTAAGGGTGGTCTGCCTCCCCAGCCCACGGACTCAGATGCCAGGACCCTCCCTGGCACATCTTCAGTCCAGTCAGGTTGCGGGTCCTGGGCTGCAATGCGATTCGGTTTTCCTGTATGGCCTCCAGGCGGCTCCTTCAGGGACTCGCCCAGGACTGACACTTTGTATCCGAATCAAGCTGACCTCGGTTTTAACCCTGTGGGGCTCTATCCTTGTCAGGGTTTCAAGCTGTGGGTTTTCGTCTCTCTCTCCTTTGACTCTCAGTGAGCCTTCTAAATCCAGGAAAACGTGGCTCATTGTTTCTTCAGCTCTCTCTCCTGCTGGAGTTTCAGGAGAGACGAGGATGCTGATAACGTGCGTGCCCCCTCACCCCTCAGAACTCTGAACGGTGTCCTCCGTGCTTCCGCCCTCACACTGTCTGGGTCACCTGCGTCTCACTCGTGCTGCGGCTGGTACCCTCAGCCATCCAGCAAGTCTTCTGCACCTGCTCCTTTTTCTTGCCCTTTGTCTTCAGTAGAGGTGTCTTTACGGTCCCCTCTCATTTCCTGGCCTCTCGCTCTGTCTCTGTGGTGCCCGTAGTTCCTGTGGAGTATGGCATGGGCTGTGAGCCTCCTCGCCCGGGCGGCCTGTGGATTCCACCTTGCTCAGGCTGTTTTCTTTCTTCAGAAGTCTGGCTTCCCTGCAGTCCAAGTTCCTCTGGAGTCTTGAGCCCCCTCTCAGCAGCAGCCCACGGGAGGAAGGGCTCAAGGAAGGCTGCAGTTACTGCTGCGGCAGGTTTCGGGAGGTGCTGATGCCCTTTGTCCTAATCCATAGGTGGCCTGTGCCCTCCGCCATCTCAACGCCCCAGGACACCAGCTTAGACAGCCTCTGGGGAGTACAGGCACCTGCCCTGACCGAACGGTGCTATCAGGGTCAAGGTGAGCCCCACGGGGCAGCCTGAGAACCAAGTCCAGGCCATGGCAGAGGAGGAGGCGAGACAGGTCAGGGCCCAGCAGAGTTGGAGAATGCCCTTGTCCACCTCGGGGACTCTGGGTGCATGCAGGGCTGCGGAGGCTGCTGGCCTTGTCCGTCATCTCTGTGGGGTGGAGATGCGGCGCCATAGCCTTATCTTGCTAGTGGCAAGGTGGGCCCTCTGGACAGCATCATACTTGTTGGAGCTCAGCCTCTGCTTGGCAGCCAGTGGGAGGGAGTTGCCAGGGCCAGGCCTTGGTCCAGCGGCCCCTGTGGTTCTCACAGGCACCTGCTGAAGCTGTGGCTCAGCCCCAGGCATTTCTGCGAGGACACAGGCTGGAATTCCCACTAATCTTGATTTTACCTTGGTGCAACATGTGGCTTGGAACCCTGTCTGGAGGTGCACGCCTCATCCTCCTTGAGGATTAAGTGGCTGCCACCTCGGGCCTGGGGACTGGAGAGGCCTGCAGGCTGCCTGCATTTCAACACCAGAGCCGAGCTGCTGGGGCTTTGGGTACAGGGTGTGGGGCAGCCTGGGCCCTAACTGCTGCCCAGCTCCTGGACAGCCTGGTGAGTCCGTCTTCTCAGGCTGGCACTTCTGCAAAGCCAGGCAGCACAGTGTGTAAACAGTGTGGCCTCTAGCCGGGACTGCCAGAGCCCCTGCCACTCGCTGTGTTCTGCAGAGCGTGGCCTGAGCTGCTCTGTGCCTCACCCTTGCTCACGAGGTCAGATAGTGGGTCCCAGCTCGGGACTGTGGGAAGATGGAGTGTGCTAACGTGTAGTTGCGTCCTCTCTTCTCAGTCTTGCAGGACATGCCTGGTGAGTTGTGGGGGTGGTGCAGGAGTCGACATATGTCTGTTTCAGGGCTGGAGGTGACACCTGAGAAGGACCCGGCTGCACGGGGCTTGCGGATGAGGATGAGGAGGGACGAGGAGGCGTCGGACCCCACCTCTGCGGCTGCTCAGCTGCGGCGGCTCCAGGACCACTTGCCCCAACCCTCGTCTGCCAGGTGACTCCCAATGTCCTGTGTGCTGAGCCCCCTGCCCAGCACTGCCACAACCCCTGTCCGGAGCACCGGCCAGCCCCAGTAGGCTGCTAAGGGCCTTCTCTGGCTGTCTTGGCGGAAGCCTGGAGTGTGCACCCTGGCTGGGCGAGCAGTATTGGTACCGTGTTTGGGCTTGTCAGTGCCAGCATTAGCTGGAGCCTGGGTGGGGCTGAGCCAATAGATACCCTTCCAGGCACCCTTCCTGCCTCCGAGAGGCGTCCCCAGGGCTGGGGTTTGAGAGGCAGATGTCAGGTTACCCTTGGATCAGGGTGAAGGACTGCAGACCAGAGGCCCGCTGTTGGCTAGGGCCCACAGCTTCTCACAGGACCTTAGTGGTGGCTCTGAAGCCCAGGCCCTGTGTGGGCGGAAGCCACTGCTCACGTGAGCGAACCCGAGGCCCCGGCTATGCTGTGGGGGTGGGGAGGCAGAGGTGGGTGGCTGGGGCACACATGTTGTCAGCATGTCCCATCTGTTCCTGTAGCTCCTCCAGAGTGTTGCTGGAGCCAGCGGAGGCCCAGAAGCTGGCAGCAGAGCGGGCCCGGGCGCCTGTGGTGCCCTACGGTGTGGACCTGCACTACTGGGGCCAGGAGCTGCCCACAGTTGGGAAGATCCTCAAGTGAGTCCCTGGGCATCTGAAGTTGGCCAGGGCCCCTGCCTCGGGAGGGTGCTGCCAGTGTGCAGGCCTCCCTGGTTCTGAGGAAGCTGGCCCCGCCGCCCAGCTCTGCCCACCTTCAGGGTGCCTAGAGGGATATGGGTGGGCCTCCCCTGCTGAGCTGGCTTGTGGAGCCCAGGAGGGCTTTTCTGAGCCTTTCCACTGCTGTGGTGGGGCATCGTGGAGCTTGGGTGTTACTCTGCAGGAACAGCCGGATGAGAAGCCACTCCCCTAAAGGCGGCCCCAGGGCCTGCGCTGTGTGTCCTGCTTCACCACCACACAGCTGCCGAGGCTGGGCTTCCTGCCGTATCAGGGCTGCTTGCAGTGACTGTGTGCCCACACCTCAGGTGGGGGCTGCAAGGAGCCCGAGGAAGCTGCCCTCCCTGCCCGCTTCCCCTTCGGCACCCCCCACTGCGCTGGTCTCTTCTCTGGGGAGCTGCAGCAGAAGGGGGTACACAGGAATCATGCTTTAAAGTCTGGGCTGCTGGACCTGTAGGGGCCACCTGAGTACTCCAGCCCCTGGCAGACCTCACTGGCATGGCTGTCGGGGGAGCAGGGCCTGTGCCGCCTCCTCAGCCCCTACCCCAGGACGGTTCTACATACATGGGAAGTGAGCCCGTCTCCCTTAGGGGGAAGAGGTGGTGGGTACCCCAGTCTCTCACCAGTCCTTGCCATCAAGACCCAGGGCCAGTGTGACACAGGAAGAGGCTTTTGGTGCAGGGAATATTGCCGTCCCCACAGCACCTGTGATGGCCTCAGCTTGAAGGGCTGGCCTCCTTGTGCAAACACCGTAAACACACAAGCTAATGCTGCAGGGTCTGCGGGGCTGGGAAGCCCACCGTGATGGGGGAGCATCTCATCTTCGTGAGGCACCGACCTCAGAATCTCCAGAGAGAGAGTGGGGGCAGGGGCAGGGAGCCATGCAAGGGTCCTTGGGCAGCCTGAGGAGCCCTGTGTGTCCAGGGCAGCCACTGCTTCTTCTGGGACACCCGGCAGTGGGCCCAAGTGCCTGTGTGTCCTGGTGCGTCGTCCACCGCTGCTTCTGTTCCCAGGTTTCTGCTGGGCTCACTCACGCAGGCAGGACTGTAAGAGGCAGACACTGGCCTCACTGAGCAGGACTAAGATCTGAGGGCCCTGTCCTTGGGGCTGCAGAGACGCTGCCCCTAGTGGGGGCCATATTGGGGCAGTGCAAGGAGGGAGGGGCTGGACAGGTAGGAAGAAACAGCCGTCCCTGCCACACTTTGCCACCAGGGATGCCCCAAGGCCAGCGCTTGGATTTTGAGCCTGGCAGGTGATGCCTGGCAAAGCTCCCACCTAGAAGCAGACGCCTGTCCCTCATGCCTGCCTGGCCTGGCCCCGCCCCAGTACCCTGGACGTTGCCCTGAGCCCCTGGGCAGTTGCGCCAGGTGAGAAACCTGAACAGCTTCCTGGTGAGGACCCGGTTAGTCCTGGTTGGCACCAGGACCCTGCTGGGCAGGCCTAGCTTCACACTGTACCTGTGTGGCCTGTCAGCACCACCCACCTGGTGCTGCGAGCTCACAGTTTCACATTTCCCCCACCTGCCCACAGACCTGTATGGGGCCAGCTTGATGGCAGCTTGCACACGAGAGTGGCCCAGGCTGGGGAAGGGCCCCTGTCAGCCGTTTGGGCGGGGGTATGTGGCTGGTGCAGGAGACACCTCCTGGATGTCGCATGTGCTCACAGCCAATTGAGGGACACACTCCTGGCTGGCCCCTAGCCAGCAGGCTGCTCACACCATATTCCATCACCAAGAGGAGGAGTCCTGCCCTCCAGCTCTCAGCCCCATTTGGGGACGTCAGAGAGCCTGGGCTTACCCCTTTCATTCAGGAGGTCAAGACAGTGCAGCTCTGGGAGGCCAGGGCTGAGCCAGTCCGTGATGGGAGACAGGGCTGACAGGACTGGCTCCCCCAGGCTCTGGAAACAACTCTTTCCCCACAGCCTCTGGAAAGGCCCCTCCCTTCGAGGCCTGGTACACAGGAGGCCGCAGGTCCTGGCTGGGCATGGTGCTCATGCCTGGAATCCCAGCACCGTGGGAGGCCGAGGCAGGTGGATCACCTGCGGCCAGGAGTTTTGAGATAAGCCTGGCCAATGTAGCCAAAACCCCGTCTCTACTAAAAATGCAAAAAATAACTGGGCGGGGTGGCGTGTGCACGTAGTCCCAGCTACTCGGGAGGCTGAGGCAGAAGAATCACTTGAACCTGGGAGGTGGAGGTTGCAGTGAGCCGAGATGGAGCCATTACTCTCCAGCCTGAGTGACAGCAAAGTACTCTGAAAAGAAGGCTGGGCTGGGCGCGGTGGCTCAGGCTTTTAGTCCCAGCACTTTGGAAGACTGAGGTCGAGAGTTTGAGACCAGCCTGACCAATGTGGAGAAACGGTGTCCCTATTTGTAAAAATACAAAATTAGCCAGGGGTAGTGGCATGTTGCTGTAATCCCAGCTGCTCAGGAGGCTGAGGCAGGAGAATTGCTTGAACTTGGAAAGCTGAGGTTGTAGTGAGCCAAGATCACGCCACTGCACTCCAGCCTGGGTAACGAGTGAAACTCCATCTCAGGGGGAAAAAAAAAAAGCCTGGTAGGCTTTGGCCAAGGCGTGCAGAGGGGAGTGTCCCTGCTCCTGGACAGGTAGGACGTGGTGGAGCCTGTGGTGTGCTGGCTCCTAAGTGTTCCCTCTGTGACCCACGGGGCATTTTGTCCTGTCGGAGTTCTGGGTGGCAGAACTCGTCACTGCTCATACAGGGCCTCTCCTGGTGCGGCAGGAGGCATCTGGCTACGTAGTCGGGCACCCTTGGAGCCACATGTATCCTCCTTGGCTATGGGGCACATGGCCAGGTGCTCTTCTTCATCCTGCCGTTCTCTGCCCAAGATGCCTCTCCCTGTAGTGGGGCCAAGGCCCCGGGTGGCTGTCCCCCTGTCAGGAGGCAGTTGTGCCTGCATTCCCGCCCGTTAACTGTCCAAAGCCCCAGCAAGCGTGAGACCCCCTTATCCAGCCTCTCCCCAGACCAAGGTGGAGGCAGAAGTGAGGTCCAGTGGCCCCAGGGCAGGGCCACCACCTCCCTAGTATGGGCCGTGCCTGGGGCCGTGCTCTTGTCTGCTGGCCTAGGGCAAGGGCAGGGATACTGGCTCTGCTCCTCCAGCACCCTTGGGCACAGAGCCTGGGAACCTGGGAGGCTTGGGCAGAGCCGGCTGCCCCCTGTCAGGAGGCAGTGGGCAGTCTCTCATCACTGGGAGCCTGTGGCACCGCCCATCTGTCCTCCCCAGTTCCCAAGCGTGAACTGGCCCCAAGCGTGGCTGTGTACCCCAGAAGGAGTCCTGGTGGTGGCACAGGGGCATCTGGGTCTGTGCGAGGGCCCCTCAGTCACTTCTCCCCTGCCTGGACATCCAGGTGGGTGGGGAGTGGAGTCCTCTACTGCCAGCACCCCAGCTCCCCCATCCTGTGGCGTCGCAGGAAAGCATCTTCAAACAGGCTGATGACCACAGCAGAGCATGGGCCTGGACACACCTGGGAGGCCTGGGAAACCCAGGACAGCGGAGCCCAGTCTCCAGTGCCCCGCCCCTGCGGTGGAAAGATGACCTCATGTAGACATCATGTTAGCCCTCAAGGTCATGCCTCAGGGCCCAGCGACCGTCACCCTTGTGCTGTAGGGAGAGCCCCTCCTGCAGGTGGCAGTTGCGCCCATGGATCGAGGCTGGTTCATGCAGTCAGAATTCAGACCCACGTGGGAGTGACTGCGTTCTGCTTTTGGGTGGTGCTCTCCCAAGTGCTGGGGTGGCTGGGCTGCAGTGGTGTTTGACCAACCCCACGCCTACATCACCCCAGCCACGCTCTTCTGGGGTCCCTGCGGATGCGGTGAGGATCTCTGGTTCTCTCCGCAGGTCTGACTCCCAGCACCGCTTCTGGAAGCCCAGTGAGGTGGAGGAGGAAGCGGTCAACGCCGACATCTCCGAGCTCCACAGCCGCCACATCACTTTTGCGGGGACGTTCGAGCCAGTGCAGCACCGGTGCCGCGCCCTGAGGCCAGATGGCCGGCTCTGTGAGCGCCAAGACCGGCTGAAGGTGAGACCAGGGCCTGAGGGCCGGGGGAGGTCTGGAGGAACCAGGGTGGCAGCTGGAGGGGTGCTGAGCCCCACCTGCCCTGGCCCTGGGTTGGGATGCTCGTGAGTACTGGGAAGCCATGGAAGGGGCTTGTCCATGGTGGGCAGGAACTGCTTTGTCGTGGCTGTCAGAAGATGGTGTCCAGAGGCTCCTGACCCAGGGCCCTGTAGCCCAACAGCTGGGCACGTGGCTTGGCAAACTCACCAGGGGCTGAGATGCATGGTGTCCTCCATGGTTACAGCCTGGGTCTGTGCTGGGCTGGGCTCTTCAGAAGCGAGGAGAGGCCGGGGGGCCAGGGCAGTTTCCAGCCTGGCAACTGGGCATGGTGCAGGGAGATATTCACTATGTCCAGGGTGGTGTGAAGGAGGCCTACACTCTCCACAGCTGCCCAAGAGCTCCTAGCTCTAGAGGGAGGACAGAGCCACCTCCGTGTCCCTCCGGTGCTCAGGACGCCCTCCCTGAGGGGTGTGTTATGCACACTTTGGCCTTGGTAGCTGTTTGTGCTTGAAGGGGGCAGTGGTCAAGGCGAGCGGAACCCCTCCTTTCCTCCCACTCACAGCCATTGTGCCCTTGCTCTGCAGTGCCCTTTCCACGGGAAGATCATTCCCAGAGACGATGAGGGACGGCCACTCGACCCAGAGGAGAGGGCCCGGGAGCAGCGGCAGCAGCGGCAAAAGCAGGAGCGCCCAGGTAGGTCTGGGCAGGTGGGCGGGGTGGCGCCACGGAAGGCACTGCCTCTGGCAGCCCGGGTCATGTCTGCGGAGTCACGGAGCACCTGCTCTGCCGGCGTGGTCCACAGTGCTTACACGACCCTCAGTCCTAATTGGTAGAATCCAGAGGGGTGCTGCCCAAGTGTCCTGGGTTTGGGGGATCCAGGGGATGCTCCATTTTAAGGAGGAGTCACATGTTCTTGAGACCCTGACCAGGAGGTGGGCATCCAGGGCCCCAAAGCCACCGGTGCTGTCTGTGTGGCTGGGTCCTGCTTCCTCGTCGTATTTTCAGGCAGGTGAAGGCCTTGAGGTGAGAAACGTGATGGCACTGAGCCCAGAGTCCCTTCCAGGAAGCCCTGGCCTCCCCAGTGCCCTACACCTGCCCTCTGGCCTCTCCAGTGCCCTGAACCTGCCCTCTGGGCTCCCCAGTGCCCTGCACCTGCCCTCTGGGCTCCCCAGTGCCCTGCACCTGCCCTCTGGGCTCCCCAGTGCCCTGCACCTGCCCTCTGGGCTCCCCAGTGCCCTGCACCTGCCCTCTGGGCTCCCCAGTGCCCTGCACCTGCCCTCTGGGCTCCCCAGTGCCCTGCACCTGCCCTCTGGGCTCCCCAGTGCCCTGCACCTGCCCTCTGGCCTCCCCAGTGTCGGGCACCTGCCCTCTGGGCTCCCCAGTGCCCTGCACCTGCCCTCTGGGCTCTCCAGTGCCCTGCACCTGCCCTCTGGGCTCCCCAGTGCCCTGCACCTGCCCTCTGGCCTCTCCAGTGCCCTGCATCTGCCCTCTGGGCTCCCCAGTGCCGTACACCTGCCCTCTGGGCTCCCCAGTGCCGTACACCTGCCCTCTGGGCTCCCCAGTGCTCTGCACCTGCCCTCTGGCCTCTCCAGTGCCCTGCACCTGCCCTCTGGGCTCCCCAGTGCTGTACACCTGCCCTCTGGGCTTCCCAGTGCCCTACACCTGCCCTCTGGCCTCTCCAGTGCTCTGCACCTGTCCTCTGGGCTCCCCAGTGCCCTACACCTGCCTCAGTGTGCAGGCTGCCATGGCTCTGTCCAGAATGCATGTGGCCACTGTCTAGGCACCTGCTGTGGTGGCAGGAGTGCAGGTGCCAGAGGTCCCGGACAGCAAGACCACTGTGGAGCCTGCCCCAACAGCAGGGCTCATGTGCCTGCCTCCCTCAACCGGGGCCCATGTGCCCGCCCCCCCTCACCCGGGGCCCATGTGCCCGCCCTCCCTCACCCAGGGCCCATGTGCCCACCCTGCCCCACCTCACCCAGGGCCCATGTGCCTGCCCTGCCTCACCCTGGCGGAGGTGCATATCTATTTTTCAGGGAAGATTTGTTTTTGGGGGTCCTGGCCAGCCTCAGGCTCCCTCTCTCCTTTTTAAATCTTATTTTTTATGTTTTTGGAGGCAGGGTCTCTGTATTCACCCAGGCCGGAGTGCAGTGGTGCAATTACGGCCTCCCAGGTTCGAGTGATCCTCATGCCTCAGCTTCCTGAATAGCTGGAGTTACATGCCACCATGCCTAATTTTTGTGTTTTTATTTTAGTAGAGGTGGGGTGGCACCGTATTGCCCAGGCTGGTCTTGAACTCTTGGTCTCAAGTGATTCTCCTGCCTTGGCCTCCCACAATGCTGGGATTACAGGTGTGAGCCCCCCTGCAGCACAGCCTCGCTCCTTTTCAGAGAGTGACCGCGCCTGCAGGCCTGGACCGGGCCCAAAGTGGGGGTCGCATCTTGTCTTGAAGAGCAGTGCTGGGGCCCAGCGTCCCTTCCAAGCTGTCTCTGCCATGGCTCCTGGCATCTTGCTCTCTGGTCATGAGAAGCAGGTGTTGAAGGCAGCTTGATGCCCAGAGGCAGCGGCTTGGCCTGGGCGATGGGGAGGGCCCTGTCCTGCTAATCTCTGGGCCAGGCCTTCCCTGGTGGCTCACACTCAGGAGCAAATTAAGTGCCTATTCTTTGTGTCAACCCTGAAGAGTATCTGGTTTTCCAGCCCTTGGTGACTTGTTAACAAACAGGTATCAGGCCGCGGGCTGCGGCCGGTGCTGGCCAGTCAGATGTGAAATAGCATCTCTTTACTAACTACAGTATTGATCCCCGCCTCCCTTGCGCACGGGGCAATTTTCCTTTCCCTAGCGCTAACCTCAGTGACAATGTGCGTGGTGCTAGAGGCCCGTCAGCGCCCAGGAAGGCCATGCGGCCCCGGCATCTATTGATTTTCCTCAAAGGCTTTTAAATTGCTCCTTCATTTCACTGAGACGCTCGCTCCATCTCTACTGGGTGCCGGCGCTTTTTCGTTGTGTTTAAACAATTGCTCCATTCACTGGGTTCCTAAACTGTGACGCCTTCTTATTACTGGGAGATAAACTGTTTGGACAGTTTTCCTTAATCTTGGATTAATCGTTCCTGTATCTGAATTGTGGGCCCCGTATTCCTTCACTTCAAAGAATCCGCTTGGGGAGGCCAGGCCATCCATCTGAGGCGCAGGTATCCCTCTGGGGATGTGCCGCTGTGGCCTGGCCCCGCTGGCCCAGCTCGTGGGGTCTTGTCTGCAGGAGCAGGTGCCTTGGACCATCGGTGCCTAGCCCCTCCTGTGAGCCAGGGTTGTCTGTAAGTCCCTCAGCCATCACGGTCCTGTCAGGGGTGGCCTTCCTGAGCCCGACCAGCACCACGCCTGGTGGATGCCCACCACTGCCTTGTACGAGGAACCCCACAGGAAGCCTGGGCCTCTGAACCTCGAGGGCCTCAGTGCCACTGTGCGGTAGGTGCTCTCAGCCTGCAAGGTTGCTCAGTGGGCTGGGGACATTTGTGTCCCCTCACTGCCACAGGGCCTCAGGTAGACAGTGCCCAGCTTGCTTGGGAAGGGCAGTTCCGTCTAGGAGAGCCCACTGTGCATTTCGAGGCCTGCGGCCAGGTCATCTTCAGACCAACTAGAAAGAAAAGCCCTTTGCCGACCGTCATGCTCAGCCCAGCTCTGCCGCACGCACCTTCCCAGCAGCAGGTGTGTCCGGCAGGGCCACAGTTGGCCCAGCAGGGCCACAGTCCAGCCTGCAGGCAGGGAAGGAGCTTGCGGATGGCGCCATCCCCCCAACTGCTAGCCTTGGGTGCCTTCCAGCCTTGGAGGTCCATGGGTCCATGGCCCTAGGAGTGGCCTCTGGGCCCAGTCCCAGCTCCCACCCCTGTGGGCTGCAGGGGCCTGTGGGGGTGCAGGGTGGTGGGGACTAGCTCTGTGTCACCTTCACCGCACAGTGGCTGATGTGCCCGCTCTCCTCAGCCTGCTGCTTAGAGAATGCGAGTCACCAGCACAGAGCATCCTCTCTGGCCCACTGGTGCCAGGGTATGGGTGTGGGCAAGCTGACCTGGCCCCCCCATCAGTACGAGACCAAGAGCCCCTCCTGGGCGCCTCGAGACTCTGGCTGGTGCCAGGCGTTTCCTGAAGTTCTTGAGTTTTGTTTGCAGAATGGCAGGACCCTGAGTTGATGAGAGATGTGGAGGCAGCCACAGGGCAGGATCTCGGCTCGTCCAGGTACAGCGGGCAAGGCCGGGGGAAGAAGAGGAGGTACCCCCACCTCACCAACCTGAAGGCCCAGGCTGACACTGCCCGCGCTCGCATTGGGAGGAAAGTCTTCGCCAAGTAAGAGTGGCTGCTGGGTCACCTCCCACCACGTGGTCCCCAGAGTGAGGGTATTCGAGGGAGACCATCTGAGTTCCAAGATATTCCAGGGACCTGGGGCCTCCAAGAGCTCCCCTGCTGTGAGTTCCCGTGGGTGACCACCACCTGGCCTTTCCCCGGGGAGGGGCAGTGCCAGCCAGCAGGGGCAGCAGGCCGGGTCTGGTCAGGAATGCACCTGAGTGCTCCCCGGGATAAGAGGGGCTTGACCACCAGGCACCACCATCCTCTATTCCTGGGGAAGCCGTGCTGGGACACGGTGCACACTGGTGCACAGTGAGCCCCTGGTCTCTCCCTTGCCGGGCTGCGCCCCAGGTCAGTGCCTGCATATTTCTGCTGGTGCACAGTGAGTCCCTGGTCTCTCCCTTGCCTGGCTGTGCCCCAGGTCAGTGCCTGCATATTTCTGTAGCGGTGACTGCAAAGGCTGGCAGAATGGGGGTCCACGCATCAGCCCCAGCAGAGCCCACCCTGGCACGGCAGCTCTGAGCACTAACTCTGGGAGGCCGACCTGGTGTCTCTGCAGCCTGACCGGTTAGGCCTCAGCAGGGCCAGAGTGCGACGCCCACCAACCCAGTGCCCCCACGTGCGGCCTGTCTCCTGGGGCACAGCCCGGCACCCCCGCGTGTGGCCTGTCTCCTGGGGCACAGCCTGGTGCCAACGCGTGCGGCCTGTCTCCTGGGCACAGCCTGGCACCCCCGCGTGCCGCCTGTCTCCTGGGGCACCAGCACGGCACCTCCGCGTCAGCCTGTCTCCTGGGGCACAGCCCGGCGCCCCCGCATACGGCTTGTCTCCTGGGGCACAGCCCGGCGCCCCCGCATACGGCTTGTCTCCTGGGGCACAGCCCAGCGCCCCCGCGTACGGCTTGTCTCCTGGGGCATAGCCCAGTGCCCCCACGTGCGGCCTGTCTCCTGGGGCACCAGCCACTTGCAGGGCACTGTGTTTCTCTCTTCTCATTGCCTTGCTGTCCCCAAGAAAATTGAGAGTACTTGTTTAGAAGCACCTGAGACTGTTGAGTCCCTCCCGAAGCTGTGCCAAGTCCCTGCTAGTGCAGGTCTGTCTGGAAGCTCCAGTATGATGGTCCCCACCTGTCGCCATCCCAGAGAGCACTCTTGGACACACCTGGAAGGTGCTAAGTGTACGGGTCAGAAGAGGGGCCTCCTGGCCAGCATGACTGTGCACCCTACTGAGTGGGCCCGGGAAGCGGGGAGGCGCCTTCACCACACCCAGACAGCTTGCCCTGGGCTGGTGGGCGGCGCATCCACAGCCTTGCTTGGGTGGGGCGGTGGTGCTTGTGTAGGCTGCAGAGAGGCTGACTGGGGCCTCTGGCACAGGGCTGGACCCATCATGTCTGCCGGCCATCCAGGGTGCTCGGCCCCTGGTAGCTCAGGGTGAGGCTGTTATCCTGTGGCTCAGCCAGGGGCAGAGGCCAGCCTGTGTGCTGCTGCCCAGGAGGATGAGCAGCCAAGGGTCCTGTGCTGGGCTCCTCCGTGTCTCATGGGGACAGCGAAGCCCATGGCAGGAGCTGGCTCTTCACAGTAGCTGTGTAGCCCAAAGCCCTCCCTGCAGAAAGGACCCAGGGTGACTGCAGGCTAAACCCTGCCTTGAGGGCCCCCATAGCAGTGCCTGGCAGTGCCACTCCCCAGGAGGCCAAGGGGGCCCTCATCCTGGAGTACGGGAGGCCACGGGAGAAGTGCCAAGGTGGGGTGGGGCCACCTTCACCCATGTAGAACCACCCACCTCAGACCCCGGCTCTGGGACCTGTCTCTGTCTTGGGACGGGCCAAGGGGCTGGTGACCATCTGTCTCTGAAGGTGGCAGCTACAGAAAGTCTGTCAGTGTCTGAGGGCAGCCACTGACCCAGGACCAGTGCCTAACCCTGGTGACGCCCCTGCTGGGAGCCCAGACCCCTGGGGGAACCTCCCAGGTCATGTGTTGCCTCGTTTTCCCACAGGGCAGCTGTCCAGAGGGTAGTTGCAGCCATGAACCGGATGGACCAGAAGAAGCACGAGAAGTTTTCAAACCAGTTTAACTATGCACTGAATTAGAGAGCGGCGCCCAAGGCACCCTCCGCACCTCTTCTCCCTCTGCCAGTGCCTCAGGACACCAGAGTGGGTGTGGGTCTGGGCAGTGACCATGCTTTGTCTATTACTGTGTTTGATGTAAAGGAATGTATTAAAATGCCCTGAGTGGGCTCTTTGCTGCACCATCTGCTGACAGGTCTGGCCATGCCAAGAATAGGCCCTTGAGCCTGGAGATGTGAACCTGTGCAGTGAGCCTGTTCCCAGAGGGCGTCTGAGAGTTCTTGTGGAGCCACTGCCTGTGGTGGGGCAGAAAGTGTGTGCAGCTCCACCTTCAGGGCACGCATCCCCCAGCCAGGAGGCCACCGCTCAGAGGAGCTCTGGGGAAGCCCACTTTTGTGCAAATGCTGTTTTTAACACAAACACCAAGGCTAGGGAACCATTCACTCACCTGCTTCTGTTTCTGGATGTGCCTTTTCATACAACGTGTGGTCTTTTGTGTGCTGAAGACTGATACCGAGCATCTTCTCGCGTGCCTACTGGCCACTTGTATGTCTTTGGAGAGGAGTCTTTCAAATCTTTTTCCTGTTTTTAGTTGGAATTGTCTGTCTTGAGTTGTAACAGCTTTTTTTTTTGTCTTAGAGATGGGCTTTCACCCTTACCCAGGCTGAGTGCAGTGGTACAATCATAGCTCACTGCAACCTCAGACTCTGGGGCTCAAGCCATCCTCGCTCATCAGCCTCCCAAGTAGCTGGGACTACAGGCGCACGCCACACGCTTGGCTAAATTTTTAAATTTTTTGTAGAGACGAGGTCTCACTGTGTTGCCCAGGGTGGTCTCAAACTCCTAGCCTCAAGCGATCCTCCTGCTTCAGTCTCCCAAATTGTTGGGATTGCAGACATAAGCCACGGCTCCCGGCCACGAGTTTTGTGTATTGTGAGTACTGGATCCTCATGTGGTTTGTACAGACTTTCTTCCATACTGTCTTTTCACTTTCTGGATAGTGTCCTCTGAAGCACAAAAGTTCATTTTGATGAAGTCCAGCAGTTTAATCTGTTGTTTTGTTGCTTATGTTTTTACTGTCACATCTCAGCAGCCGTGGCCCAGTCCGGAATCAGAGATTTGCACCAAGTTTCTAAGAAGCATGTACAGTGTCAGCTCTCAGGTGTCGATCTTGGCCCGCTGTGAATGAGGCTATGTGTGTGGTGTAAGAGCCCACGTTCTTCTGCATCTGGATATCCCACATGCACCATTTGCATGGTTAGCCCAGCACCATTTGTTGAAAACATTATTTTTCCCTGGTGAATTATCTTGGCACCCTTGTTGATAATCACTTGACCAAAAAGGCACAGGTTTATTTCTGGGCACTCTGTCCCAGTGACCTGTCAGCCTTACGCCTGCACCGCAATGCGTCGGTCAGTGTGGCCATGTTGGGGCCGGTTTCACTTTGTTCTCTTTCAAGGTTGTCTTGACCACTCTGCATCCCTCGCATTTCCAAATGAATTTTAGGGTCTGCTCCTCAGCTTCTTCAAACAAACAAACAAAATAGGAACTGCGTTAAATCTAGAGATTGCTTTGGGCTGCATCACATCTTAATGTTGAATCTTGAGTCCTGAGCTTCTGACTCTCTCTCCATTTACTTGGGTCTTTTATAATTGATTTCAACAGTATTCTGTTGTTTTCAGTATCTAAGTCTTACACTTACTTTGTTAAATTTACTCCTAAGTGTTTCATTCTTTTTGATGTGTAACCAAAAGGATTATAAATGCAATTATAAGTTTATTTGTTCTCTGAATTTCATCATTGCTAATACGTGGAAGTACAGCCGACTTTGCGTATTGATCTTGTATCCTGCATTCCTTGCTGAACCTGTTTCTTCTCAGCAGTCTCGTGTTCCCTCAGATTTTCCATACACAGAATCATGTCATCTGCAAACAGCTTGCTTTCTGGTCTGGATTTCTTTTGTTTCTCTGAGCTAACTGCTCTGGTTAGTACCTCTGGGACAGCGTTGAGTAGATGTGGTGAGGGCAGGCATCCTTCTCTTATTCCTGGTCTTAGCGGGACGCTCTCAGCCCTTCACCCTTGAGTGTGATGCTGTCTCAGGTTGAAGACGTCACTTCTACTCCTGGCTTGAGTGTTTTTGTCATAAAGGGTTGAATTTCGTCGGAGCTTTTTCTCGTCTGTTGAGATGATGGTTTGATTCCTGTCCTTTACTCTGGTGAGGCGGCATGCTACATTGTTTCTCCTGTTGGACCCACCTTGCTTTAATGGGATGAATTGTGCTTGTTCCTGGTGTCTGCCCTTTCTCTGTGCTGCTGGATTGCTTTGCTAGGATTTTGCCTCTATGTTGATGAGGGACGTTGGTCTGTGGTCTTCTCGTGATGTGCGTCTGGCTTCAGCCACATCAATACTGACCTCAGAGACTGAGGTGGGAAGTGTTCCCTCCCCTCTTATTTTTTGGAAGAGTTGTGAAAGATTGTTGCTAGTTATTTAAACATTTGGTGGAATTTACTGGTAAATTTACTGCTGGGCTTTTCTTTGTGGGATTTTTTTTTTCTAATTCGGTATCTTCACTTCGAGATCTGTTTAGATTTTCTGTTCCTTCTTGAGTCAGCTTCAGTAGTTTATCTTTCTGGGAGTTGGTCCCTTTCTAGGTTATGTGTTGCAGTCTGTTTACATATAATTGTTCATAGCATTTAAACATTTCTTTTAACTGACAAGGCCTCACTCCGTTGCCCAGGCTGGAGTGCAGTGGTGCAATCATGGCTCACTCCAGCCTCAGACTCATGGGCCCAAGTGATCCTCCCACCTCAGCCTCCCCAGTAGGTAGGAATACAGGCATGCACCACCACATCCAGCTACTTTTCTTTGTCTTGGTTTGGTTTGGTTTGAGAGAGTCTCGCGCTGTCACCCAGGCTGGAGTGCACTGGCGTGACCGTGGCTCACTAGCCTTAACCTCCCAGACTCAAGTGATCTTCCCATCACAGCTTCCTGAGTAGCTAGGACTACAGGGGCATGTCACTGTGACTGGCCAATTTTTTTAAACCTTATTTTTGGTAGAGATGGGGGTCTCACTATGTTGCCCAGGCTGGTCTCGAACTCCTGACCTCAAGAAATTTTCCCGTCTTAGCCTCACAAAGTGCTGGGATTAGAGACATGAGCTACCGCACTCACCCCTACTTTTCTTAAAAATTTTTCTGTAGAGATGGGATCTTGCTGTGTTGCCCGGATTGGTCTCAAACTCCTGGCCTGAAGTGATCCTCCCACCCTGACCTCTCAGCGTGCTGGGATTGTGTCCTGTGGTTTTGGTCATTCTCTTTCACTCCCCCAGTCAGTCCAGCTGAAGATTTATCAGTCGTGTTGATCTGTTAAAGAAACAGTGGTTTTATTCTTCCATTCTTTGTTCTGTTGATCTCCACTGCGGTCTTCATCATTTCCTTTGGAGTTTCATTTTCTCTTCTTTTTCTTGTTTCTTAAGATGGAAAATTGACTTATTGATTTGAAATCTTTCAACGTAGATAGAATATAGAAATCTTTCCATTTATATAGCTATACATTTTTATCTGAGTGCTGATTTATTTCATTTCCTAAGTTTTGGTATATTGCATTTTGCCTTTTTTAAATCTCAAAGTATCTTCTGATTTCTCTGGTGATGTCTTTTACCTCTTGGTTATTTAAGAGTGTGTTGTTTGATTTCCACATATTTGTGAATTTCCGAAATTTCCTTCTGTTACTGATTTCTTTTCTTTTTTTTGGTTTTGAGAGACAGGATCTCACTTTGTCTCCTGGGCTGGAGTGCAGGGCCGTGATCACAGCCCACTGCAGCCTTGACCTCACACCTCAGCCTCCCCGGTAGCTGAGATTATAGGTGTGCACCACCAGGCCTGGCTAAATTTTTAAAAATTTTGTTGTAGAGACAGGGTGTGACTGTGTTGCCTAGGCTGTGTTGGAAATCCTGGGCTCAAGTGATCCTCCTGCTTCGGCCTCCCAAAGCATGAGCCCCTGTACCTGGCCTGTTAGTGATTTCTTATTTCACTCCGTTGTGGCTAAAGAACATACTCTGTATGATCTGCCTTCTTTTGTATATGTTGAGAGTTATTTTATTGGCGTACCGTATTTTCTGTCCCCGAGTACTGAAGCGTATCTCTCCTGCTCCTGTTGGGTGGCGAGTTCTTTAGATGCCTGTTAGGTCTCTGTGGTTTATGGTGGTGTTTTTGTCTTCTCTTCCCTTCCTGATCTTCTGTCTAGTGATGTTGATGTTGAATGTGGCCTACTGAACCCTTCAATGGTGTCAGCTTTTGTTTGGTACATTTCGAAGCTCTGTTGAGTGCATCTGTGTTTCCGTGTGATGAACAGACCCTTTATCATCTCGACGTGTCCTTCTCTGCCTCTGGTAACAAAGGTTGTGGTAAAGTCCCTTTCATCTGATACTGGTAGAGCCACTCTTCTGATTGCTGTTTGCGTCGTACCCTTTTCCACCCTTTTATTTTCATTGTATCTCTGAGTGTGAAGTGTTTCTTGTAGGCAGCATATAGAGGGGTGATGTTTGTAATCTGTTCTGCTGCTCTCTGCTGTGAGAGAGGGATGTCTAATCCATTTACATGCAGTGTGATGACGGAGAAGGCTGGCTGTATAGCTACCATTTCTAAGTTTGTTTCCTAGATTGCCTTTTTTTTGTCTTTCTTCCTGTATTTGACATTTAATTCTATTGTAACATTGTAATTTCCTTGTCTGTTCTACTGGGTTTTTAAAAAGTAGTTTTCTTAGGGCTGCTGTGTTACTGTAACAACTTAATCAGGTGCTCAGATGACTTATGTACAGAGACTGTAGCTTTGTTTCCCGTCAGCTTCTTGGTGCTGTTTTCATGGTACAGATGCCACCTTGTAGACTGTAAGCCCATCAGCAGTCTCGTAATGACTTCTTTGTGCCGTTGTCATTTAAGGCACGTAGCAGAGGAAAATGTACGAGCAGAAGTGAGTTGCCGCCGTCCCCGTCGCTGGTTTTGCAGTTGTCTCGGGCGCTGTTTGTGTGGATTTGCTTGTAGCGTCTTGGACTTCAGCCCGAGTATTTCTTGCAGGACAGATCTAGTAATGAATTCTCTATTTTTATTTATCTGGGAATGTTGTCATTTCTCCTTCACCTTTGAAGACTAATTATGCTGGATATAGCCCTCTTGGTTGGCCCTCTTTTTCTTTCAGTACTCTAAAGATGTCGTCCCACTGCCCTCTGGCCTCCGTGGTTTACAGTAGAAGCCAGCCACTGACCTGGTGGGAGGCACTGCCCTGTGTGTCGGTCTCTCTGGCCTCTGTGGTTTCCGGTAGAAGCCAGCCACTGACCTGGCGGGAGGCACTGCCCTGTGTGTCTTGGTCTCTCTGGCCTCTGTGGTTTACAGTAGAAGCCAGCCACTGACCTGGTGGGAGACACTTCCCTGTGTGTGGGTCTCTCTGGCCTCTGTGGTTTACAGTAGAAGCCAGCCACTGACCTGGTGGGAGGCACTGCCCTGTGTGTCGGTCTCTCTGGCCTCTGTGGTTTCCGGTAGAAGCCAGCCACTGACCTGGCGGGAGACACTGCCCTGTGTGTGGGTCTCCTTCGCTTCTGTTTTACTGAGAGTGTCTAGTTGTGGGTCTCTGAGTGTGTCTTACTTGCAGTTCTTTGAGTTTTGTGGATATAAAAGTTAATATTTTTCAGCCAATTTGGGAAATTTTGGGTCGTTGTTCCTCAATATTCTGTGTCCCTCGTTTCCGTCTTCTCCTCGGACTCCGGTTGTGTGTATGGGTGTGGAGCTGGGCAGAGCTTTGGGGGCTTCTCTCACTCACCCTTATTCCTTTCTCTTCTCATAATGGAGTGGAGCGACTCAACTCACCTGTCTTCAAGGTCATGGATGCTTTTGCCAAACAAAACCTGATGTCCGGCTGCTTAGTGTGTCTCATTTATTGTACTTTTCCAAACTTCCATTTGCTCCTCTTCTATAATTCCTGTATCTTCACTCACATTCTTTACTAGTGAAGCATCATTTTCATACTGTAATTCTGAGGAACAGCTTTCTGTAGTTATTTGAACATATTTATAGAAGCTGATGTAAAGTACTTGTCTAGGCTGGGGGTGGTGGCGCACACCTGTAGTCCCAGCTACTTGGGAGGCTGAGGCAGGAGAATCTCTTGAACCTGGGAGGCGGAGGTTGCAGTGAGCCGAGATTGAGCCAGTGCACTCCAGCCTGGGCCACAGAGTGAGACTCTATATCCAAAAAGAGATAGAGAGAGAGAGAGAGATTAGAGAGATAGAGATGTACGGACAGACGGAGGACCTGTCAAGTAAGTTTAACAGAAGGGCTTATTCAGCGGCCTTTTGATGGCCTTTTTTCTCATGTATGAGCCAAGGAAGTAACATCCTCTTTCTTTGTGGTCTCAGTATATTTTTTAAGACTGGACCCTTCGGTAGTGTGCTGTGCAGCTCTGGAAGTCAGATGCCCTCTCCACGAGCCTGTTTTCTGTTGCTGTTACCATTTGTTTAGTGTACGGACTGATTTGAAGCGTCCACCTAGTCAGCTTCATGTTCAGCCGGTGACTGGACAGAGGTCCTCTTCAGTGCTTTGTGCCAGTACTCCTGGTTCTGCCAGATGCTGAGCGTGCCTTCAGCGCTCACGCAGTAGCTGCCCCCGTGCCTCTTCACTTCTCACTTGCACATAGCCACAGGCCGGCGAGAGGTGACAGGGTGCTGCTCGGGCCTCTCGGCACACACAGCGCTGTGCTTATGCACCGCCTTCCATGCCTCCAAGAGTGGAGCTTCTCAGCAACCACCCTGGGCATCTCATTCTTGAGATCTTCCTTTCAGGAGTTTTGGCCACCTCCTGTCTGCCCCAGCTGGCACCAGCAACGTGCAGTGTTACACAGCAGCTGCCGCTGCTTCACAGACACCTCCGGAGCCAGCTGAGCCGGGCCAAACAGCAACAGGGCCTCCGAGTGGGATTTTTCCAGGAAGCAGCCAGACAAGTCAGATGGTGATGATTCTGCAGGGGTGGGGCCTTGGGTGGCTGCAAACCGGGTCCTCCCTGTCTCCAGGCACAGGGCATGAGGCTGCTGGTTGCAGAGGCTGCTGCGGAGCTGGGGAAGGGACATGGGAACACTGCAAGTTAGATGCCATGGAGCTCCCTGCTCTTACCAGAATCCGGCCATTTTTCTTAAAACACTCTTGGATTGTTACAAGCCTTCTCTTCATCTCCAGAGCTTTGAAAAGCAGATTTGTCAGTTACTTTTCTCCTGTCTTATTGGCGTATTTCCCATTCAACTGTGGGAGCTTGTGGGCTTCCAAGTTAAGAACTTGGGGGCTGTGTGATGTGTTGCAAAGCATCTCCTCAGTTTGCCTTCTGATTTTCCTTTGGTTTTGCCATGTAGGTTTTTATGTAGTTGAAATGCCAGTCTTGTCTTGGCTTCTGAGTTTTGTGTCCTAGAGTGCTCTTCCCCACTCAGAGATTATGTTTGAAATTTTTTCCATGTTTTCTTCTAGTACTTTTATGGGTTTCGTTTTCACATTGAAATCAGTGATCTACTTCTAATTTTTTGATATAAAATGTGAGCCAGGAAACCTAGTTTTAAAATTTCAAATAGCTGCCAGGTGTCCCTGCACCGCCGATGAGCAAGTCCATGCCTGTGCTGACCTGGAGTGCCCGCCTGCTCACCAAGGCCTGGCACGGTGGCCCTGTGGTTTCCTGTCCCGCTGGCCACGTCAGACAGTTACTGTAGGTTCCACTCACGGTGGCTTTTAAATACGTTTATGTCAGAGACCCCTTTTCTCTTTCTGTCCACCTCGAGATAAACTGGGGCTGTTGGGATGAGATGGAAGAGGAAAGATGTTTTTGTAAAAGTGAATTCAGGACTGATTTGTTAGCTTGGTGCTTTTTATATCAGACCCTGTAATGAATTTTCCTGAAAGCTTATTAAAAGAAAAGCCTGCGACTCTGTGCTTGTGACCTGTAGAAGTGAGGGGCCCTGTGGGGTGAGGGTGCTGGGCTGGCCCTTCTGGCTGGTAGGGTGAGGGTGGGGACTGTGCCCCTGGGAGCAGCTTCAGCACTGAGGGTCCAGGGCACTGTCAGTGACTTGGCGCTAAGGGGGTGCTGGGATAGGCCCTCCTTTTCTCAGATCCCCTCAGCAGACCCCTTCCCAAAGCGGTTTGGGTCCCCATGAGCCAAGCAGATGGAGGGGGCGGAGGAGCCCGGAGCAGCCTGGCCTGCAGAGGCATTTAGAGCCAGAGGGCAGGGCTGTGCCCAGTTCCTGCAGACATCACCATGAGAGTGGGTACCCCTCACCTCAGGGAGGGAAGGGAGCAGCGAGGATTAAGGCGGGGAAGACTAGGCCTGGGGGTTCCTGAGGACCATGAGAGTGGTCCCGTGACTCAGGAAGAATCTGCAGACTCCCTTTGCTGACACTCCTGGAGGGAGCCCCAGCAGCCCCGGGGAGCTTCCTGCAACACCCCCACCCCCAGCCCTGCACACCTGGGGTTGAGCCTGTGCTAGGACTGAGCCTGGGTGGCTGAGGAGCAGCACAGATGCCAGGGGCAGCAGCTCGCCGTCCCTTCCCTGCGTGTCTGTGCTGAGCTCACCGTCCCTTCCCTGCGTGTCTGCTGAGCTCGCCGTCCCTTCCCTGCGTGTCTGCTGAGCTCGCCGTCCCTTCCCTGCATGTCTGTGCTGAGCTCGCCGTCCCTTCCCTGCGTGTCTGCTGAGCTCACCGTCCCTTCCCTGCATGTCTGTGCTGAGCTCGCCATCCCTTCCCTGCGTGTCTGCTGAGCTCGCCGTCCCTTCCCTGCGTGTCTGTGCTGAGCTCGCCATCCCTTCCCTGCATGTCTGCTGAGCTCGCCGTCCCTTCCCTGCATGTCTGTGCTGAGCTCGCCGTCCCTTCCCTGCGTGTCTGCTGAGCTCACCGTCCCTTCCCTGCGTGTCTGTGCTGAGCTCGCCGTCCCTTCCCTGCGTGTCTGTGCTGAGCTCACCGTCCCTTCCCTGCGTGTCTGTGCTGAGCTCGCCGTCCCTTCCCTGCGTGTCTGTGCTGAGCTCGCCGTCCCTTCCCTGCGTGTCTGCTGAGCTCGCCGTCCCTTCCCTGCGTGTCTGTGCTGAGCTCGCCATCCCTTCCCTGCGTGTCTGCTGAGCTCGCCGTCCCTTCCCTGCGTGTCTGCTGAGCTCGCCATCCCTTCCCTGCGTGTCTGCTGAGCTCGCCGTCCCTTCCCTGCGTGTCTGTGCTGAGCTCGCCGTCCCTTCCCTGCGTGTCTGCTGAGCTCACCGTCCCTTCCCTGCGTGTCTGTGCTGAGCTCGCCGTCCCTTCCCTGCGTGTCTGCTGAGCTCGCCGTCCCTTCCCTGCGTGTCTGCTGAGCTCGCCGTCCCTTCCCTGCGTGTCTGTGCTGAGCTCGCCGTCCCTTCCCTGCGTGTCTGCTGAGCTCGCCGTCCCTTCCCTGCGTGTCTGCTGAGCTCGCCGTCCCTTCCCTGCGTGTCTGCTGAGCTCGCCGTCCCTTCCCTGCGTGTCTGCTGAGCTCGCCGTCCCTTCCCTGCGTGTCTGCTGAGCTCGCCGTCCCTTCCCTGCGTGTCTGCTGAGCTCGCCGTCCCTTCCCTGCGTGTCTGCTGAGCTCGCCGTCCCTTCCCTGCGTGTCTGCTGAGCTCGCCGTCCCTTCCCTGCGTGTCTGCTGAGCTCGCCGTCCCTTCCCTGCGTGTCTGTGCTGAGCTCGCCGTCCCTTCCCTGCGTGTCTGCTGAGCTCGCCGTCCCTTCCCTGCGTGTCTGCTGAGCTCGCCGTCCCTTCCCTGCGTGTCTGCTGAGCTCGCCGTCCCTTCCCGGCGTGTCTGCTGAGCTCGCCGTCCCTTCCCTGCGTGTCTGCTGAGCTCGCCGTCCCTTCCCTGCGTGTCTGCTGAGCTCGCCGTCCCTTCCCTGCGTGTCTGCTGAGCTCGCCGTCCCTTCCCTGCGTGTCTGCTGAGCTCGCCGTCCCTTCCCTGCGTGTCTGTGCTGAGCTCGCCGTCCCTTCCGTGCGTGTCTGCTGAGCTCGCCGTCCCTTCCCTGCGTGTCTGCTGAGCTCGCCGTCCCTTCCCTGCGTGTCTGCTGAGCTCGCCGTCCCTTCCCTGCGTGTCTGTGCTGAGCTCGCCGTCCCTTCCCTGCGTGTCTGCTGAGCTCGCCGTCCCTTCCCTGCGTGTCTGTGCTGAGCTCGCCGTCCCTTCCCTGCGTGTCTGTGCTGAGCTCGCCGTCCCTTCCCTGCGTGTCTGTGCTGAGCTCGCCGTCCCTTCCCTGCGTGTCTGCTGAGCTCGCCGTCCCTTCCCTGCGTGTCTGTGCTGAGCTCGCCGTCCCTTCCCTGCGTGTCTGCTGAGCTCGCCGTCCCTTCCCTGCGTGTCTGTGCTGAGCTCGCCGTCCCTTCCCTGCGTGTCTGCTGAGCTCGCCGTCCCTTCCCTGCGTGTCTGTGCTGAGCTCGCCGTCCCTTCCCTGCGTGTCTGCTGAGCTCGCCGTCCCTTCCCTGCGTGTCTGTGCTGAGCTCGCCGTCCCTTCCCTGCCTGTCTGTGCTGAGCTCGCCGTCCCTTCCCTGCATGTCTGTGCTGACACGGGCCAGTAGCCCAGGGCTTCAAAAACAGGACCATCCCCAGAGGCTTCAGGCCCAGAGGGGACAGGATGGGCACTGTGGCAGCCTCACACTGCAGGCGAGGTCAGTGCAGCTGTGGGGGCCTTGGCAGGTGCACACTGAGTCCCACTGAGGAGGGGAAGGGAGCTCCATTCATGCGGCATCCACCAGGAAGGGCGGAGGCTGTGAAGAGGCCCCAGGCTGCCAAGGGTGCACAGCAAAACAGAGGGTCACCCTGGGTCGTGGGGACAGAGGAGCTGGGGTCTGGAAATAGCGCTGCAGACAGAGCATAGCTGCCAGGCACAGCCACGTCGGCAATTGGATCTGCTGGGCATGGCTCTTGAGAAGGGCAGAGGCATCGAGCAGAGATTCCAGAAGTGGGGTGCCCGTCAGGGCAGGTGGCCTGGGTCTGGTGGGCAGGGCTGGCAGGACCAGGCCCTCAGTGCCAGGCCAGAGCTCTCTCCCAGGGCTGTGGGGGTTACTCGGGCTCACAGTGGAGGGAGCCCATCCTGGCTGGTCCAAGGTACCGCTGCCCTCATCCACGGCAGTCTGGTTGAGTTCAGCCCGGAGAGCAGCAGAGAGTGGGTGCAAGAAGTGACTGAGGGCGGACTGGCAGGCATGGGTCACAGCCCCAGTGCAGGGGTGGACAGGCCACCGTGGAAAGTGGTGTCAGCTACACAACTGGAAACCCCAGGTAAGAGTGGCTCGTACACATAAGGGTTTGTGTTCCATTAAGCAGAGTGGAAGGTAGCTGCCCCCAAGCACGTCTGAGGGGGCCAGTGCCACCAGGACCTTCTTTTTTCCCATTTCCTGGTTTAGTATCAGAGCACATGGTCTCCAGCCACACAGCTACCTCATGGCCCAAGGTGGCTACTGGGGCTCCAGCCATGATCAGGTCTGCAGAAGGGAGGAAGAGGGCTTTGCCTTCTCTCTGAGCTGATTCCCACAAGGAGCCTTCCCGGATTCACCCTCCATCCACCCCCCACACATTGCTCATGTGGACTTGGCCAGAACCTAGTCACAGGCAGCAGCATCCAGCTCCCTGCTTCCCCAGAGGCAGGACATGTGGCATTCAACCTGGGAGATGAGAGCTCAGCCACTTTCCCAGAAGAGAGAAGGCGTCCACCCCACAAGAGCTGTCTCCAAACGGGGTCACCTGGCAGGCGGCCGAGAGGAGGTGGGACGTGCACATCCCTAGCTTGTCACCCATGAGCGAGGCCCCCCAACAGTGGATGAGATGCCCCCCACCCCATGGGCCTCTATGGACGAGAAGGCAATTGTGGGATGGTGGAGGGGTAGCAGTGGTCATGGGGGCAAGGACAGGGCTCAGCCCCGTGGCCTCCCTAAGGTGCGATCCTGCAGACCTCCCTCGCTCCCCACCCCTGCCCCTCCCTCCCTGCAGTCGCCTCCCTCTGCTGCTGGGCTATTTGTCCAGCCTCCCCTCTACCATGGTCAGTGGCTTCCCTATAGAAAGCCTCCCCTCCCAGCTGATGCTGATGGGGCCTCAGGGAGTCCCTACCAGCAGCCAGAAGAGACCAGGAGTGAGGGGGCACTCAGTCACCAGGGAAGAGTGGGGGGCCCAGGTGACGGCCACCACAGGCAAGACACTGGGTGTGGGAGTCCCCTAGGGATGGGCATGCAGCCCAGGGAGGCAGGGGCATGTTGGATGCGGGTGTTCCTGGGCATCTGGGTATGGGTGGATCAGATCGGATGTGGGGGGTCCTTGGTGCCTGGGGTTTGCTCTGAGGCTGTGGGGCTGGCTTGGTCTGGGAGGAGCTTAGTCTGGCTTCATGATGCCTGGAAAGCCCCTGGCTCTGGGGGGACATTGCAAGCAAGGACGAGATGAGGCACACCATTGCCATGGCGGGAAGGCAAGTGGGGGCTGAGGGTTCCCCAAGCCCAAGACACCCCACGACTAAGGAAGAGGAACCAGCCACTGAGTGAGCAGGGCGTTGGGGAGGCCACACCAGGATGGGGCAGCCAAGGGCCTGAGTGGGGGTGAGAGCCTGCTGGGGGTGAAGTGAGAAGGAAGTGCAGACGCAGGTGTAGACAGCTCTTTTGATAACTTTGGTTCGAGGCTGGGAGGAAAGGGGGACAGCTGAGGGCCCCACAGGGTCCGGGGAGGATGGTGCCTAAGCTGGGAGGCACTGGACCACATCTAAAGCCCAGCAGGGGCTGTCTCACCGGCAGGATGCCGGCAGGCAGCAGGATCTTGCGACAGGGAGCTGGGCTTGGACATGTGGCCAGCCCAGGGCGGGGTTGTGGAGAGGACACAGTGGACTTGGGGTAGGAGCTAGGTGCCCACCAAGGTCGAGACCCTGGGCTTCAGAAAAGACCAGGCAGGCTGAGGCTGACTTTGTTCAGCAAGCCCAGCTGCCTGGGTTGGGGGAGTGGGCAGGTGGGCATGGGGGCGGGGAGCATGAGGGAGCTGGGCGGGGAGCATGAGGGAGCTGGGCAGGGGCGGTGGCGCCAGCCCATCCTCCCCTTTCACTAGGTATGAGATGCCCAGGTCAGATACACCTCCCAGCCTCTCTTGGCTAGGAGAGGGTGCGGGCCCCAGCTCTGGTCAATGGGACATGAACAGCTGTGTTGTGTGGGCTTCCTGGAAAGCTCCTTGAAAGAGAGGGGTGTTGCTGGCTGCTCCCTTTCTTCCTGTTTGCAGCCGGGCTGAGGATGGAGCCTCAGCTTCCATTGAGGTCTGTGAGGCTGAGGCCTGCCCAGGCCTGGTGCAGCACAGAGAGCCGGGAGCTGGGTCTTCAGGCCCAGTGAAGGTCTCAAAACTGCCCAGGGCTGCCACCAGCCAGAATTCCGTCACAAAGAGAAAATAAACAGTCTCCTTTCAACTTCCGTTCATTCAGGTTTTCTCTTACATTTAGCCAAACCCAGTCCTGACCACACAGCCACAGACCGCAGCACCATGGGCTGGTGGGGGTGGGGAGCTGGCACCGTCCGGGTTCAGTGGTCCCTGGGCAGGAGAGGGGAGCCCAGGGCGTGAAAGCGGACACCGCCCTTGTCTGGGGTCATGCCTCGCTTGACCAGAGGCCCCTTCTGTGCCTGGCTTTGCAGCAACATGCATGTGGTTCTGGGAACTCGGAGCAGGTGAGGTCCAGAGCAGGATGGGTTCCGAGCCCTAGGAGGAGGCGCTGTGGAAAAGCGTCCTCAGATCCTGGGGTCCAGACCTTCCCTCACAGCCCTGACACCAAAGTAGGGGACATGTTGAGACCTCTGACAAGGCTCCCGCTCACCTCTGCCTGCAGCACAGGCCCAGGGAGCTGAGGCTGAGTCAGGCACAGGCGGCCTAGACTGGAAATGGTGGTCAGGGGAGCCCCGAACCTGGTGGGCGTGGGGGTGGTGGGGCAGCTTGAGGGCTCCCTGGGAGGCAGCCAGGGGAACAGCACCCTAATCTCCCCAGGGAGATTGGGGGCCTGGGGACCCAGTAGGAGTGTGGGCTAAAAAGTGGGGACTCCTCCAGGAGGGAGCAGGGCTCCTGCTGACACCAGAGCTGGCACTGCCGCAGCAAGGGCCTCAGTTTCCTACACGTGACATACACAGCAAAGTGCATTGGGCAGCTCAGGTGGCTTCAGACACGAGGGCCAGCCCACAGCAGCTGTGAACCAGACTGGAGGGACCTAAGGAAATGTCCCCCGCACCTGTGGCATGAGGCTCTGGGCTGTCCAGGGAGCTTAGAGAAGGGGTGGGCGACGCTGGTGTATGGCAGGGGTGGGGGACATTGCTTCCCAGGCCTCACAGCCCCCAGACGACACCCTCCATCCCACCCGGCAGCCCAGGGGCACTGCTACAGGGCCCTGCAGTGTGGTTCTATGTTTCTGGCTGAGCCTTGAGAGGAGGAGAGAGAGGAGGCCAGGGCAGCGGGGCGTGTGGAGGCAGGAGGGACAGGGAGCCAGGATCTAAGCTCCATGGGGAGGGCAGCACCCAGCGGACTGGCCCGGCTCAAAGTAGGTCTGAACCTGGTCTGCACGATCGCAGCCACCTGTTACCTCCCTGTGGGGCTGTGAGTTCCTGGAATGTTCCCGAAGGCCCTGGCTGGGCTCAGCAGGCTCAGCAAAGGGGAAGCTGGGGCCATTGCAGCACAGACCAGGGTCTGTCCCCGTTGCGCCACACCCAGGAGTGGAGGCTGCTTTCCTGCTCCGCAGCCTCAGTGCCCAGCTCAGGCCAAGCCCACTGCACCTGCTTCAGCTGTGAGTCGACCCTCTGGCTACACTCAGCCACCTACAGGTGGAACTCTCCTTCCCTCACAAGACCCCCACCCAGCAAGCCTGTGCAGCCCTGAGCTCTGCCAGCGGAGGGAGGAGGGAGAGGCTGCCTCACCCCGGGCCAATGAACCTTAGGACGCTTGCTGCACGCAGGTCCACAAAGAAAGGGAGCCGGGGGCAACTGGAACTCAGGCCAGCCCTAGGCTGGTGGAGTGCAGGCCTGCCTGGGACCCAGGGTGTGGGGCAGCAGATGCACAGTTGGTCCCATCCACCCCCCACCAACATGCCCGATGGCGCATGCTTCTCTGGGCCTGCCCTCTGCCCACAGATAATGGCCAGGCCAGTGAGCAGCACTGTCTCCCATCCTGCCTGCGGCACTGGGTAGTCGCTGCCCCCAGAGGTTAGTGCCAAGTTGACAGCCCAAAGATGAGCTCAGCCTGCTCATAGAAAATGGAGGGGACACCAGGAGACGTGGGCCCAGCCAGGGCACAGCTGGCACCCACAGCCAGGCTCCCTCTGTAAAGGAGGGCCCAGGACACCGGCCAGTGGCAGAAGAGGGTTGGCACCTGCCTGGCCGTGGCCGCTGTCTCACGCCACCTCCCAACCCCTTCTGGGGCTCTGAACTCTCCCCAAGCCGCCCTTCCCGGCTTGGAAGCATCAGCTTTTGCATCCAGGATGCCGCCCAAGCGAGGCGCCTCTCTACCTCTCGCCTCCCGGAGCCCAGCTCAAGACGAACACCCAACCCCCAGGGCTCCTACAGCCTGCTCAGGGAGGTGGGGACCGTTTCCAGAGTCGTTGGAGAAGAGGTGGCCTTGGGTCTCTGAATGCAGCTGGGACGCTCTTGGGCGGGTAGCTGCGCCGGGCCAGCCCCGTCTCCTCCCCGGGGGGAAGCAGGTGGAGCTCCTTCCTCCAGGAAGCTGACACTGCCCCCAAGCTGAAACGCCCAGCCCGGCGCTCTTCGGAGCTGTGAGACCGGAGCAGGGCTGCCAGCGTGGGAAGCTGGTCACTGTCCCGGACCTGTGATCTTCGCTCTGGGGGTTCAGGGAGGGGGACGCAGGGACCTGAGCCTCAGCCTGCGTGGCGGGTGAGCCCCTGCGCCCAGCTCCAAGCCCACGACCACGGGCAGGCAGCAGTGGAGAGGCCCGGATTCCCGCCGCGGGACACCAGGCCGGTGGGAAAACAGGCTGGAGTCCGGCGCGAGACGTAACTCCCGAGGTGCCTTGGTCCCCACCGGAGAGGACTCAGGGGTAGCCCCGGTCGGGCGGAGGGCCGCGCGGGAGCCTGGGAGACCCAAGCGCGGCCGCCTGCGGTTTATTGATTGAGTTGAAGTTCCGCAAAGTGCTTCGCAGCGGGCCGAGCCTGCGGGAGCCCCTACACGGCCCCAACCCGCATGGTCATTTATAAATTTAAAACTCTTCGGTAGCAATGGGTTATATACAGAGTCAACGACTGGAATCGTAGAAAACTGCCGGGCCCTGCGGGCGGCCTAGAGGACGCGAGCGCGCCGGGGCTCAGAGGTGCGGCGCGTAGAAGGCGGGCGCCCCGTAGGTCTGCGAGCCCAGCACGAAGGGCGAGAGCACGGCCGGGCTGGACAAGAACGGCAGCTGCGCGGCGCACACCAGGCCGCCGGGGCCGTGCGCGGGGTACCCGGCTGGGCCGTGCATGCCGAGCGGGGCGCCCATGGGCGGAGAGGGGCTGAGCGGGCTGAGGCCGCCGGGCAGCCCCGCGCCGGGCCCAGCCCCCGGCCCCGCTCCCCCGCCGCCTCCGGTCGGCGCGCTGGTGTCGGCGCCCGGGTTCTGCTTCTTCCACTTGGTTCGGCGGTTCTGGAACCAGATTTTCACCTGCGTCTCGGTGAGGCTGAGCGACAGCGCCAGGTTGAGGCGCTCGCACACAGACAGGTAGCGCGTGGCCTTGAACTTGTTCTCCAGCGCCACGAGCTGCTCGTAGGTGAAGGCGGTGCGCGCTCGCCGCGGCTTCCCCGACTTGGAGTCGGACCCCGTGCGCTTCCGCTTGGGTTTCGTCGTGGTCGCCGCGCCCTGAGGGGTGGTCCCCGCAGCCCCCGGCGCCGCGGAAACTCCGGGCGGGCCCGGGGCTCCGGGAGAGTTCCCGCGGGGTCCGTGGGCCGCGGCGTCGACAGCGCCGGGGGACGCGTCGGCCTCAGCGGCGCCCGGGCAGCCCGACCCGCGGGCCCCGAGGCCGCCGCCGCCTCCTCCCCGCGCCTCCTCCGCGCCTCGCGCCGCCTCTGTCTCGGGTGCCTCGTCCTCGTCGTCGTCCTCGTCGTCGGGAGCCTCGTCCCCGCTGTCCGCGCTCGGGCTCCGGCCGCCGCCGCCGCCGCTGCTGTAGCCGTTGGCGTCGTTGGTCTCCGCCTCCCCAGTCTTGTAGGGGTCGCCGGCGTCTGCGAGCGGGCGGGACGGGGAGGACAGGACAGGGCAGTTAGGACCGGACGGGCCCGATTCCAGATCCCGCCCTCCGCGCGCCGCCCGCCCCGCCGCCCGCGTGCCCCGCTTCCTCTCCCAAGGCTCCCGCCTCCTGTTCGGTTCCTCCTGTTTCCTCTCTTTCCTTCACTCCATCGTTTTCCTCTCCTCCCCGCCCGTCTGTCCCTCCTTCCCGCCGCCCGCGTCTCCTCTCCGTCCCTGGCTCCTTTCTATGGAGAAGGTCCCCCTCTCCCCGGGCTGCCCAGTTCTCGCGGCCCCGGGCGTTTTTGCCGGAACAGGGCTGACGGGTGCTGCAGGCCGGGCCGGCTGCGAAGATTACAGAGGAGTGGAAGCTCCGATCGATCCGCGGGGCAGATACAAACTTAATTAAACTCATTTTGTGTAATGTACAAACTAGTTAAGGCCATTTAATTTATTTCGGCGTATATTACCCTCCAATTACCGCCGACGCAGGACCAGCCAATTACCCGGCATTTAATAGGCCCGGCGGTGGGGCTGGAGCCGATGAGAGAATGGGGCTTGGGGGACCCAAATCTATGCCCTGGTCCAGACCCTACCTCAAGACTCCAGGCCCTGAAACTCGGTTGCTAGGGTCGGCCCCGGTTCCCCGCCCGCGCCTTGGCCCCTACGCGGAGTTGCAGCGGGCAGGGCCCTGTGCGGCCTCACTAGGAGGGCCGGGCGGGCGCGCAGGTCGGAGTGGCTCCCGGGGCCTAGAGCTCAGGTCTGCCGAGTCTGAACAGCAGCCCCACATCCTCCAAGCAGAGGCCCTGCAGTGACTGCATTTTGAGTCTCCGAAATTTGGAAGAAAGCCTCTCTCCCAGGCAGGGTCGCCTCTGCCCCGGCACTGGCAGCCTGAAGTCAGGAGGGGCCGAGGCAGGTGCCCTCACAGAGCTGCTCTCAGGCCGGGTCACAACCGAAATCTCAGGTAATTAACCAATAGCTCCTGGCAGATTCCTCCAGGGCGACTCTCCACCTGGCACGGAGGCCAGCATGTGATCTGGGCTCCGCGTCCCTCAGCAGGTAGGAGCCGCCCCCAGACCACGGCGAGCGGCGAGCGCGGTCTCAGCCCTGCCCGGGGCTGGGGTGTGGAGCGGGTGCCTGGCCCAGCTCCCTCTCCGGCTGTGCGGTGCCCGCGCCTTCCCGGCTCCAGAGGGATCCCGGCCTTCCCCCGCCACAGGCTCTCCGTAGGTGGCAGCTCTGAGTGCAGCAGTCTCGTCCGTAGGGTCCCCTCCACTCAGCCCGGATTTGTTCGCCCTCCATCTCGGCCGACCCGGAAGAGGCCCCGCACAGGTACGGCCCGCAGCTTCTACGCCCCCAGCCTGCGGCCGCCGCCCAGACCTATCCGCCCCGCGCTCTTCTCCGTACAGCGGCAGGGCCGGGAAGTTGGAGGGAGGAGGCGGGGGAGGGGACACAAAAAGCAATCAGGAGCGGGTCGAATGCAATTCGCGATCAATACCGGCCCCTAATAAGTGTAATAGGTTTTAATCGAGTAATTATCCGAATTTTGACCCTATAATTTAGATGTTCGGGGGGAGTTTGCAAGGTGCTTGAAAGAGATATGCACGCGCCGTAATGGGATATCGACCCGACCGGGGGCGCGGGCCGCCCCATTACCGGCCGCTTTCCGCCGCTAAGCACATTTCCCCTCAACTGTAATCGAAGGGATTTAATTGTTTTTCCAGAGATAACCAGCGTTTTGTCACAATTAGTCTGATTTGTCCAAAAAAAAAAAAAAAAAAAAAGAAGGAAAGAAAAGGGAGAGAGGAGGGAGGGAGGCCTCCAGCGGGCAAGGTGGGGGCGGGGAGGTCACCGGCCAGCCGCGGCGCACGGACCCTCTCCTCCTGCAGCAACTACCCTTCCAGGCCGGAGACCCGCGGAGGCGAACCCTGGACCGGCCTCACAGCCCTACAGCCCCTGGGCCTGACCCGGCTGAGCTTCTCCAGAGGAGCCTGGCGATTCGGGCCTTGCAGTCCGGATCGGACGGAGGCCACTGGTGGGCTGGTGCGGACCCCGCGCTCTGCGAACTTTCCACGGAGCCTCGGCGTGGGTCTGACCCAACTCGCCACGGGGTTCCAGGGTCGTAAACGCGTAGAAGCGGCCAGTCCCCCTATCCCCGCGACCTGGCGCCGACCTCTCCTACTCACTCGGCGGCTCAGCTCCCGCGACTCCCCCGGCGCTGGCGAGGGCGCGGCGCTCCAGCTCCTCTGCTCGTGGCGGGCGTCCGGAGGCTGCGGGTGCAGGGGCGCACGGGGACGAAGTGCACGGGGCGCACGTAGCGGGCGCCACTGGGCCCAGCAGCATGCAGCGACGCCTCCTGCTGTTGAACTTGTTGGGGTCCAGGATGTCCAGTACCGAGAAGGAGGTGGGGCGTGGGGGCGCGGCGGGCCGGGCCGCTCCAGCCCCCTCGGGCGCCACAGGCACAGTGTCGCTGGCCGCGAGCGGCGGGGCTCCAGCACGGGGAAAGGCCGGCAGCTCCGCGCGCCCGTCCATAGCGTCCCGGGCAGCGGCGGTGGGAGCGGGCGGTGCGGGCCCTGAACCGGGACCAGGAGGCGGCGGCAGCGCAGGACCGTCGCCAGCAGCCGCGGGACCGCTAACACTCATGCCGGCCTCCCGCCGCTCCGGCCGCTCGGGCCCTGCCGCCTACTGGGCTCCCATCCTTGGCGGCCCCGGCACCGCCAAACGACCCGACGCAGGTGGCCGCTGCTCCGCCAGCTCTCGGCGCCGCGCCCCGCGCTCGGCCGGTGCTGCCTGGCGTTGCCTTTGCCGCCGCCTTAGGCGCCCGCCGCGCCCGGCCGGCTCATTTATGGCAGCCCCGCCGGAGGCGCCCACGCGCCCACACGCCAAACACACGTGCGCCTGCAGGCGGCCGCGGGGCTCCGCCGCCCTCGTTAGCGCGCGCGCCTAATTGGCTGCGAACGGTCCCGGGCCGAGGAGGCGGGCCCCGCGCGGGACACAAGGACTGAGCCGCTGGGCCAGACGGACAGACGCGCAGCCCAAAGCGGAGCGCGGTCCGCTAGCTGCTATCGTGGTCAGCGGCTTGTCGCTGCGCCTCCACTCGTCCGGAAACGGCGCGCCAGCCTCCTTGGCGAAGGGGGAGGAGACAGCCCCGGCTTTTAAATAATTGCGGGATCAATCTGCGGCGGGGCCGCATAGACCTCAGGGCGCGCGGGCCAGCGAGCGCCAAGAGTTGGCTGGGACATCCCGGCGCAGGATGCGGCGACAGCCGGGTCTCTCCTCCGGGCCTCCGGCGCGCGGGACCCTGGCGCTCCGAAGGCTCCCACAGCTCTGGCGCCCCTCGGCAGTTGGGGTGGGGATTGGGGGAGCGGTTCTCACGCGCGATTCTCCGAGTTTCCGCCGGGTCTTCAGCCCCTTCACGCGCGTTCCGTGGGTCTCGGTCCCGCCTCTCTCGCTTGCTCCGCTTGGGGTCTCCTCTTGCGTCTCGGGGCCTCTATCGCTCAGGGCCTCTGCCCCTCCATCGCTTCCCACGCCCGCCCCTTTCGCGACGTCAAATTAGGGCCTGGCCTGGAGTCCCAGCAGAGGGGCGGGGCCGGCGGCCCCCGGGCGGCTTGTTAGAAGTGGAATCGAAAATAAGAAAGGCCGCTTGTCCCTCCTAACCCGCCCCCAAAAGGGGGACCGACAAATTGCGCCAACAGCAAGCGGCCTACATAAAATCGATACTCTTTAAGTAAGGGGAAAATGTGTGTTTCTTCCAAAAATAATATCACAAATGTCCCCTTCGCCACATCCGGATAAATAAGCAGACCCGCGGTCTGAGTCTTTATTTGGGTGCGTTTTAACTACAGCGGCGATGTCGGGAGGACCCGGCCCTGCGGCTCTAGGCCCTCGAGGGTTGGGCCTGGCGTCCGGAGTCCCAGGGCCGGATCGCTGGTCGCTCCTCTCCCTCCTCCTCCTGCCCACGCAGAGAGCAGCCAGACGCAGGTGGACCCTGGTGGGAGCCAGCAGTGGGAGCGCGCGCGCGTCTTCAGGGTGTGAGCGCGCGGGTGCGTGCACAAGCGGGTGTGCGCGCCGCTTCACACTGCGGTCCCGGGAGCCTGCTCCGCGCGCAGGGCGGTCCTTTGCAATTACCGCGGGCAATGATCCTTTGGAAACAAAAATTAAAAGTTGGAAGAAATAATGGTGGACCGATCGGCTGTAATTTGGGCCAAGCTCGGACACGCTGAGCCTCAGGGAGGGTGGAACTGGCGTGGGGTGGGGGGCAGGGGAGCAGGCCTTCCCGTCCCTCTTCCCCTCCCCCTTCCCCTCTCCGCCCTCCCCGCTGTTGGTCCATCCCGAGATTCTAATCAGACCCACAACACTGTGTCCTTCCTTGCCAGGACTTGATTATTCTTTATCTTTAAATTATAAATCACCTCTGGGGAAGGAGGGTGGATAATCTCCCATCGCAGAGAGGCAATTATCTCCTTTCTGCCCCACCTTGGTCTTCACTCTGTCCCCCTCCCCTAGCTAAATTTGGATATAGATGTGCACACGCCATTCACACACACACGTTCACAAGTGCGTAGCATACACAAGCACAGATCCGTTCGTGAGCACCCAGGCACACCAGCCCAGCGCAGCCCTCACAAACGCACTCGAATTCCTGCATCTCACTCTCCCCCGCCAGCGCCAGCACCAGCTTCACGCTGGTCTTCGCTTCCTCTTTAACTCTTTCTGTGAGGAGGGGCACATAGGCCCCCTGCCGGGTCCAGTGCCCCCTCCCCAGGGGACACAGCAGCTGGGAGAAAGAGTGAGGCCTGGGTGGGGGAGGACAGGGCAAGTCTGGAGATCAGACCACTGATCTGGCTGTAAGGTCTCCCTACAACACAGCCCTCTGGCTCCCACTCCATGCCTCAAAGCGTCTGTCCCTGCCACGGCTGGACCTCAGCCAAGCATCTCCCACCAGCAGCCACAACACCCACCCCTGCAGGGTCATAGGCACTTGGAACACCTGCGCGTGAGGAAGGGATTCGTAATGGGCACCCGGCCCTCTTGGTACAACTTTCATTCAAAACGAACACAGTCACATGTAAAAGGATGTTTTACACAACATGGATGCAATATATGTGATGATTGTCATGAAAGCATAGTAAATATAACAGTATATGAAATATGATAGGAATAGCGTGAGGGAATTGTGTTATAATACACAACGGCGCCACGTTCCTACCAAACACATGCACACCCAGCACTACAGAATGCTCTCCCTGATGGGAGCGGGGGCTGGTCAGGGTGGAGTGCCACCTTGATGAAAGCACTGTGGCTATCTGAAGTTTGTGAGCCTCAAGGTTCTCCTTGATCCTTCCCTCCCCTCCTCTCTCTGCCCCGCAACATCCTGTGAGCTGCAGCGGGCAGGGTAATGAACTTCGTTCTCAGTTAGGCTCCAAGGAGCTGGGGCGGGGTAGTGGAGCCTGACGGGTCCCCCCCCCAGCTATACAGGGCACCTCCCGTAGCTTCCCCTGGGAAAGGCTTGGAGAAGGGACCGCTGCGTGCTCCCCTGTCCCACCCACCGATTCTTGCTCCCCTGTCCCATCCCTTCCCCTTCTCTGAGGAACAACGCAGGCCACGGAGATGCAGGCACCCCTCCTCCTCCTCTCTCAGATTCCCGGAAACAGCCCTCCCCTCCCTGATGTCAACCTAGCATGTCTGGGGCTATAAAGACGTCCTTTCACTCCTAATCACAATTGATTGTCAATTAGACCCCCATTTGTGCAATCTCTGCCCATCTGCCATCTCGGGTTATCTCCAAGACACCAGCTTCACTGGCAGGGCCCCAGGTGGGCACTGACAGGTGACATCAGTGCCAGGAGTGGGCTGCCTCTGCCTGCCCAGTGCACAGGAGACGTCCCCTCCATTCCAGAGCTCCTCCCCGCTGGAGGTTCAGGTGGGGTCACCATGAGGTTGGGTGGGGGCGTTGGCAGGAACAGACATGGGACAGGAGCAGAAGTCTGGGGGAGGGTGGTAAAGGGTCTTAGAAGAAAGCCTCGGGAAAGCAGTGGGTGGGAGTTGAGACTTCAAGGATTCCCTCCCCAGCGTTAGAGGTTTTTAAAGTTTTGGGGACAAGAGGAAGAGGCCAAGCCAGCCACCACTGCCACAAACACAGCATGGGTTTATGAACCCCCCCCTCATTTTCTTTGCCTGTCAGTTGCAGGGGCTGAGTCCCATTGGAGCTCTCAGGCTCTGATACCCTCCCCTTGTGGGATGAATGATGGAAACAAGGTCACAGCCTTTTACTTGATGCCTGGAAGGGGTCTCTTCTCTTTTTGGCTGGAGAGCCTTAGCTGGATAGGCTGGAAGGGCAGCAGTGTCCTGGGGCGTTCTAGGGTTGGGCAGGGGTATAATCACCTCCACTTTGTATAGTGTTTGCCTCGTGCGAAGTGCACACCACCCCACCCGTGGCCCCACAGCCTAGCTGTGCACCTCCTTGCATCTGCCGGACGGGAGCGGGGGTTGCCGGTGGAGGACGGGGAAGAAGGCTCCTGTGTCCCTCCTCTCGCTCCTACACACACTCCGCGCCACGGTGGCCCCTGTTTATCACCAGAGTTTGGGAAGTCAGAGGAGAGCCCTCTGCTTTCCGGCCTCGTTCTTCCTCTTCTCTAAGATATGTCCCCTTAGGGGCCTGTGACTCCTCAAGAAAGAGTGCACCACACTCGGAACGCCAGAAGCGGGAAGGGGACACAGGCTCTGGCCTCGAGAGCACGTCAGCGCTGGACACCCGCGGCCCCAGCCTTGTGCGCCCCTGCACAGGACAGCTTCAGAACTGCGGACAGCGCCAGCACCGCGGACAGCGCACTCCTAACACTCCCCGGAGGCCACCGGCTCCGACCGCGTTCAGCACCGCGGACAGCGCCAGCCACCCCGGGTGTCTGCCGACCTCCAGCCCGCAGTCTCTGACCTCACTGCCCCGTCCTTGACTCTTCCTCAAACTCTGGGATACCCCAGGGGATCCTCAAACTCTGGGATACCCCAGGGGAGGAAGAGGGCGGCAGGCTGTGTGCGGAGTCTTGGCACCACGTACATTACACAGCCGGATCAGAAGCCAGCCCATTCACCACGACCAAGCCAGGACCCACCAAAGGACCAGAAGTTTACCAGGCATCACCGCGTGCGTTTCCATTCTTCTACCTGCAAGCTGCGTGAGTTAAGGATGGAAAACACGTGTCACAGGGCCTTACTCCTGGTGAGGAGCCCGCCAGAGATGCAAAGGTGAGGTTGAAACCCCTTTAAACTTAAAACAAGAAGGCACAAACAATTGAAACAACCGGGGACCTGGGTGCTATGTGGAGGGCTGGACACCTGGCTTCCTATCAAGGCTGCAGAGGCAGCCACTGCTGACTCCCTCTCCCAGGCACTGCTGGTTGAACTTGGGGGGCACCTTAGCTCCTGAGGGTTTACTGACCACAGGGCCAGGCGGATTACTGCCTTACAGATGCATAACCTGAGGTCAGGGGGGACCCATGCTGTGCTCAAGGTCCTCCAGCTGGTAAGTGGTGGGGTTTTTATGTGAACACTGGGTTCCTCAGACATAGCGTTTTTCAGGTGCAAAGTCATACATAATTGTGTGGCTGGTCCCTGGGAGAAAACATCCAAACCCAGAGGGTTCCTTTCTCCTCAGGCTCTGTCCCTCCAGACTCTCCCTTACTGCCCCGGCCCTCTCTGGCCTCTCTGCCTACCACTGGCTTACACTGCATGGGGCAGCAGGGTGCCCAGGTTGGAGCCTGCCTGAGGTGGCCACCTTCCCTCTCTTGTTGCTAAGCTCCTGCCGGTACTCAGGGCTCCAGGCATAGACACTCTGTCTATAGCTACTACCAGAGTCATCAAGGGGGGGGGCATCTGCGGGAATCACAGGGGAATCACCGGGGAATCACCAAGGTCACATTGCCTGGAGACAGGTGATCAGGAGACCCCTCCTGAGTGGGGGGCTGGGGGTGCCTTGGCACTGCACATCAGTCTCCTGCTGATGGCCACCTGGCCTCTGCCTGCCCCTGTCCCAGCCTGACTGCCTCCGGTCTGCTTTCCATCATTCTAAAATGTAAACTGAATAGCACCCCTCCCTTTCCAGAAATGCCAGGGACCAAGTCTAGACTCTGCAGCCTGGCATCAGGGGCCCTTCCTAGCCAGATCCTTCCAGCTATCCTGTATGCTCCCTAAGCCTGTACCTGGTACCCTAAGCCCCTGCGTGTGCCTGGATGGCCAAGCTGCCATGTCCTGTCTGCATCATCCTTGGTCCTGTTAGTGGCAGCACCACCTGGAAGCCACCTTGTGTTCCTCAAGTAAGGCAGGTGCCATCCTGTGCACCCCTCCAGCCCAAGCTTCTGCAGTTCCACCTTGACACGTCACGTGACCTTTGTCTATTCACTTGTGGGTCCCCCTACCCCTGAGACTGTGGGCTCTTGGACATGGTA